AGAAAAAAAATTTTTTGAAGAGGGAAATTAAAAAGAAAAAGCCTGAGATGAATAACTGTCTTAAGGACCTAGAGCCAATCCTTAAGAATCCAATATTCAATGTTTGCAAAGAGTAAGAGAAGCCACAGAGAAGGTGCTACTGAAAATACAAAGGAAAAGCTCAGGAGTGAAGGATGAAGAGCACTAGGTGGAAAGTTATTGAGTGCAGTGCTCTTGGAAGGACTGGTACAGAAGCACTTATCTCCTTCTTTATCGTTTCTACTTCTCAAAGCATTATCCCCTCCAGTACCAGGTTAGGTGGCAGGAGAAGAGCACTGTCTGTCTGTCTCTACTGAGTCCATCTTTCCTACTCCTCCTCACTCTCCTGGTTTCCTACTGGCCTGTGCCAGTAAGCAAGGATCACCCTGTCCTTTGTAAAAGATTCCATGTCTTCTCCATTGAGTTTCCACTCATCCAACTCCTTTAAAAGTAGTTCTCCTGTCTTTTTCATCAAAAGAACAAAAAACAAAGAACAAAAACAAAACAACACAAAAACTATTAAAATGATATGGAATTTCAAATCAAGATAATAGGAAATCAACAGTGGTTGTTGTATTACTGTTATCTTCAAAGTAGTTGCTCAGATTACCAGATGCAGGTACGCAAGCTTGATCAAGCAATTAAACATGAACTGTTCCTTTCAATAAACCAATAGAAATTGGTAGTAAAATTATCTTAGCTATCTTTTGTGTATATGCACATTTTTTTTCCTTTCCTTCTTTCTTTTCTCCTTTCCCTAATCTGAGTTGTTCTTTCCTATTGAGCAGTTTCTTTCCCTTTCACAACATCTATTGTACCTTTCAGATTGTATCTGCACTTTCAGGTTATTCCACGAGGGAGACAATATGATGTTTACACATGTGGGTCTGATTTATTTCACTTATGCATATGGTCTCTAGTTGCATCCATTTACCTATAGAAGCCTGCTTCCCTTTCCCTTGGTCCCTTAAATGTCTGTTTCCTAGGTGTTTTTAGACCCCTTCTTGGAACTCTCTGTAATTTCTTGTGTGCCCAAAGCTTTAACAATCACCCCATGTTGGGTCTCCAACCCAAATCCCATGCCAAACTAATCTTTCTCTCAAGACTCAAGCTCTTATTCTCAAATCCCCGCTAGCAATTTCTACAGCAGAGCAGTCCTGACATTTTAAAAACCATTATTTGCAAAACCAACTCTTCACCTTTACTCTGAAGCCTTCTCTTTTCATTATTGCATTTGTATTTATGGTGCAAACATCTTTCCATTTGAACTTTCCGAGTCCTTGTTGACTTAGTCTTCACCTTCACCCTAGACAATCAATAAATGTATTTCTGTTGAACCTCTTAAACATATGTCTCTACAGTGCACCCTGATACATTCTTTTAACTGGCTTCCCTGCCTGTTGTTTCTCCCTATTCCAAACCATTCTGTACATTTGCTGCCATAATTTCAATTTCTAAAAGCACCACAATAGTGCATACTGCTTTAAAAACCTTTCCTAAGTATTTCTCAGCTCAAAATAGGGAGCTGAACCCTTATCCCACCGTACAATGTTTCTGTTCATTTATTCAGTACATATTTATTGATTAACTGTAATATGCCAATGTTCTGGCATTCAGCACGGAGCAAGACACACTCACAGCCCATGTGAAGTTTACTTTCAGGTAGGGAAGTCAAACAAGAAGCAAGTAAATTTGTCAATTTTTTTTTTTATAAATACATAAAAATGAACAGAGTTAGGACTTAAAGAACAGCTGGCAAGAAGCTATCTTAAATAAGGTGAAATGGATTAGTCTTCTTTAAAAATATGTTTTAATTGACATACTTTATGTAATTGTATTTATTTATGAGGTGGAGTGTGACGCACACATATAATAATGATCAGGTCAGGGTAATGAACATATCTATCATGCCACAAATTTGTCATTTCTTTATCTTGGGAATATTCAAAATCTTCTCTTCTATTTTGATTGTTGTTTTTGCTTGTTTGGTTGGGGTTTTTTTGGTACCAGGAATTGAACTCAGGACCTTGCACTGGCCAGGTAGGTGCTTGTGCCACTGAGCTATATCCCAGGCCTTCTCTACTATTTTGAACTCATCTATTATACCTTGATGTCATACTGATCCTTGGCAGCCATAGTTAGGTGCTACAGAATGGTAGAAGTTACTTCTCCTTCCCATGTGCACCCTGGGGCCCATTAGGCAGGGTTGATCTTTCTGTGGAGATCAAAGTTGAGCAGCTGCCTGATAGGAGCCCTCAGAGTGAGAGAAACCCAAACATAAAACAGCAAGTCTGGAGAACCTCAGGCAGGGAAAATGTGAGAGTGCTGCTGAAGAGCAGGGCACATGTGATGGAGGAAGGGGATGGAGTGTGGCAGAAGACTGCCTCTGAAAAGTGGGCCAAGGCCTGATGGTGTAGAACCATGTAGGCCACAGAGAGAAGGCGGGACTTTGTCTTAAGGGCTATAGGAAGCTCCTGGAGAGTTTGACCATGGGAGACACATGGTATGATTATCATTTTCAGACACATTCCCTGAGGTGCTGGGGATACAGTTCAGTGGCAGAACACTTGCATAGCATGTGTAAAGCACTGAGTTTGAGATCCAGCACCACAGAAAATAAAAATAAATTAAATTAAATTGTACAAAAGCAAGGTATTCCTTGACCTGACTTTAGCATATTTCATTAAACTCCTCTTCCACTAATACTTTTTTTTTCACTATAAGGTGACAGTATTGTATATATGTATGAGATTCAAAAGATGTTATAATTTATGAACACATTGAGGAATCATCAAATCATGCTAAGTAATGTATCCATAACTTCAAATCCTTTTGTTTTTTGGTGACAACAACAAGTATATTTCTTTAGCCGTTTTTAAATAAACTATATACTATTATTAACTGTATTCCCAATGCTGTGCAGTAGATCTCAAAAACCACATCTTATTCCTCCTATTTGAGGCTTTGTACCCCTTGACTGTAGTCTGGTGGCTTTCCACCTACAGCCTCCAATAACTACAATTCTATTCTCTGCTTTCATGAGTTTGAGTGCTTTAGATTCTTCCTATAAGTGAGAACATGCAGTATTTACCTTTGTGTGTTTCTTTCATTTCAGATCATCTCATCAGCTTGCTTTTGGTTACTTTTCTGTATTTGCTGAGACAAAATATCCAACACCCCAAATTAAGGAAGGAAAGGTTTATTTAGCTCACAGTTTGTGGAGGTTTCAGTCCATACTCAGCTGCCTCCAAGGCAGGGTGGCATGGCACAGGGGCAACAGTTTAAGGTGGCAGAAGACAGCAAAAACAGTAAGAGCTAAAGGGGGGAGAACAAGCCTCTTTTCCTCCTTATATTATACACAGGCTACCCGCTCTAGGGTGGGTGTAGTACTAACACTGTCTCCATGCCCTCTTCTCCCACAGGCTTAGAAGGATCTTAGCCCCCTGCTGAGTCACACAGTTAACCTTCTAAATTTCTCAAGTTGACACAATGAACATCCTAGAGCAGCAAGGGCATGTCTTGTGCACTCCAAGATGTAGAACTTCTGAATCACTTAGTTAAGCTTCTAGACTTCTCAAGTTGACACAGTGTATCAACCATTACAGTACAGAAAAAGTGTTTGACAGAATTCAAAATCCTTTCATGATTTAAAAAAAAATCTCAAAAAATTAACCATAGGAAAAATGTAATAAAGATTATATTTATATTATATTATGGCAAAAATGCAATAGAAATTATATATGATATTCCCACAGCTAACATTATACTCGTGGGAGAAAAATGGAAAGACTTTCATTCACCATCCACAGTAAGACAAGGGAGACCATTTGCCCCTTTCTATTCAACTGAGTACTGAAAATTCTCACCAAAGCAATTAGACAAGAGAAAGAAATAACAGGCATCCAAATAGGAAAAGAAGAAGTGAAATTATTGCTGTTTTCTGATGACATTATATGTATAGAGAAACTCTAAAGAGGGCAGACAGATAGAAGCAGAGAGAGACAGAGAAAGAGAGAGAGGGAGAGAGAGAGAACCAGAACGAATAATTCAACAAAGTGGCAGGATTAAAAATATCAACATACACACAAGTCGGTAGAATTTTTAGTACACTAACAATGAACTTTCTGGAAAAGAAATCAGGAGAACAGTCTCATTTAAAATAGGTATCAAAAAATAAAGTACTGAGGAATAAATGCAACCAAGAAAGTAAAAGATTCAGACATGAAACACCATAAAATGCTAATGAGAGAAACTGAAGAAGCCACCTGCTGAACAAAGTACACTTTCCAGAACCTTCCCTGGTGTACTTGCCTTTCTGCCACTGGTCACGTATTTCCCTTACTCAGAGCCCTCTCTATCATTTCTGCCTTTCAACATGTTGCCCTTCCTTTAAAACCTAAGTAAACCTCAACCTTCAGACTCACAGTAACCAATCTGTGCCTCCATCATAATCTCTGTCTTGCCCTATTTTGTAGTTTAATTACTTGTGTGTGACACACTTCCCTTACTACGATTTAAACATCTCAGGACAAGAACTGTACACCTCTCATCTCTGTTCCACTACAAATCATAACATGTACCTCACACATGCCAGAACTCCAGGAAGAGCTTGCCAAAGCAGTGACTGGACAGCCTTCATTAGCATAAATGATTGGGGCACGGATCCAGTCCTAAACCCATGGTACTATCGTTTCTGTATCACTCATGGTTATCGGCTTATTTAAGTAACCTTTCTGTGAAATACACTTAGAAAGATGGAAAATTGTGTTATAGGGGTGGAACAAATATGTAGGTTATTCCTTTCCTTAAACAAAGAGAAGTCCTCTTATGCGTCATGGAAAATTAAAGCACAGTAATAAAATATGCCAACAAGACATGTTGAATAATGATTTAGTGGAAATGTTGCTTTACCTCCTGCTCCTATGTCCTAACTTCCCTCTCTGAAGTACTTAAGCTGAATGTTTTGTTTATTTTCTTTTCAGATCACATTGACAACTATTGGCTATGGAGACAAAACTCCCCTGACTTGGCTGGGAAGGTTGCTCTCTGCAGGCTTCGCACTCCTGGGCATTTCTTTCTTTGCACTTCCTGCTGTAAGTATCTCTATGACAATAAAACAGTTTAAATTAGGTTTCAGAGGTTTATGGGAATGAGCTGTCACAAACTGATATGCTTGGGAACTTATCTGTGTCACTGACAAACACGATTGTTCTAATATACTGTTGACTTTTCTAAATATATCCAGGTGGATACTTCATAAAATATGGTTTTCCCTCAAAGGCACTTGAGACTTTAATACCAGCTAGGTTTTTATGGCCAAATAACCATTCAGATGGCATCACTTCTCAGCCAATATGCCACCAATGCATGTAAAGTATTTGTAAAGATTTAAAGATATCTTCATCCTACACTGCTCGTTCCCATCTGGCTTATAATGTGTGCTTCTGAAGAGACAGATGTATGTCCGTGGAGTACTTTCTTCTTCAGATCCATTTGCGTGAAAAGCATATGACCTTAAATGGTTTTAAGTGTGTCCCGTGATTTATTCTTTGTGCCTCTGTCATTGATTTTTTTTTAAATAGCAGTTTCTGCATTTTATCAAAATGAAGAGCACATTTATCTTCCTGCTTGCTTCTGATTACTTTCTTCTTAGTGGATGAAGTTTGCCTTCCCAGTCATTTCATGCTCTTGTTCATTTAAAGGCAGTTGGTCAAAACACTACTTGCCCCATCCGCATCTCTCACCTTTGGCCACTCCACCTGGGGTGGGGTTGGTGGAGTCACTAGCAGGGAGGGTGGAGGCAGTGACCTGGACTCCTGTGCCCAAGGGAAACAGACAAGGTGTTCCTGCAGACACAGGCTGAGGCTTTGGCATAGCCTCCACCCAGCAGGGACTGAAAGCACCCTCCACAGGGGGCCAAAGGAGTTGGAGGTCACCTGGGGACTGCAACACCACAGCCATTAGCTCCTGGGCTCCCCCTTTGCCTGGCAATGAAAACAGAGGACACTTGTCCTGCTGGTAGCCAGGGCCAACTCCACACTCACCAGCTGGTTCTACTCTGGGCCACTCAAAATCACAGAAAGCAAACTGAGAGGACTTATGCCTCTGCTCAGGCCTTGGGCCTCAGTTTGAAAATGTGTCACATGCTGGGTGACTATGTTAGCTTGCCGGCGCTGCTGGCACAATGGACTGGCTGTGCTGAACAACAAAAATGTATTGCCTCACAATTCTGGGAGGCTAAAATCAAGGCACTGACGGGGTGGATCTTTCTGAAAGCCTGGGAGGAGGATCTGTCTCAGCCTCTCTCCTTGGCTTTGTCCGTGGACACACCTTGTCCCTGTGTCTTCATTTCCTCCTTGTTCTGATTCTTCTTCTTCTTACTTCATCAGCCATATTGGATTAGGGTGCGCATCCTGATGACCTCATTTTAGCTTGATTACCTCAGTAAGGACCCTGTCTTCAAATAACTTCACATTCTGATATATAGCGGTTCCCACTCCAACATAAGAATTGGGGCTGGGGTCATAATGCAGCTCAAAACAGTGATTTGAGTATATTTCTTCATCATTATAAGATAAGAATGAAAGAGCACAGAGAGATTTCGTGAAGGCCTATGTAATAATGTGTGCTTTTTGGGAGGAAAACTCAATGTTACTTCTCTTTACCAGCATGAGTATAAAAATGCATGTCTCCATGTAGAAAATGATGAAATCAAAAAAGAAAGAAAAATCAACTCATCTGGCAATCTTAACAATCCAAAACAGAGCAAACAGAGCAGAGACTCAGTTTTCAGATTCCCTACAGAAGAAAAAGACCTTAAGAAACAGTAAAATGCAGTCTTGGGGATTTTTTTTCTTGAAATAGTGGCACAAATACCTGCTGTTTTGGGGTTTCTATTTAGCCTGAGACCACAGGCAACACTGAGTTGTTAAGTGAGACAGTGTGTGGTCTCGAAAGAGGGCTACTTGAGACCTAATTTATAACTGAGTCTTCATTATCAGAGAAAACTCTGATAAACTTAGCTAGATAGTTTCACAAGTCTTTGTAGATTATAAAACAGCAAATGTAGGGCAAGGCTGGTAGAACAAATACTGAAACAGGAAAAGAATGGTGAAAAACCTCACAAGGGAGAGGAAAGAAAATTTGTAAGAACCATAGAGATATAGCCATTCAAAGTAGGAGAAGATCTGCCAGGTCCAGTTAGTGCCTAGTTCTCCCACCTCTGGAAGCCAGCTGCATCCAGCATAGTGAAATATGTGGACCCCATCATGCAACTCCAGACCATTACAAGGGGTTAAACTGTGTCAATAGGTTGGGCTAAGGTCTGAGGCTAAGTAGTCACTGTTGGAAGAGTTTCCTACGAAGTGCTTACATTTTTTAATGCAAGTTGAATTAACAGATGCTGGAAATCTGAAAAATGTATGTGTATAAAACAGTGTCATAATATGGTGTCCTATCACTGTCAATAGACGTTACCTCCCCTCTGGTTCTTTCTATTGCCACTTCATGGTGAGTGCTGTTACGATCTTACCCTGTGCGTCTGCCAGCCAACAGTGCTGTCTGATTGACACTTAGGAGAACATCTTCCTGAGGAAATCATAAGTGGATGTGAGCTGCTCCTTCCCAGGAATCTTGAAGAAGTGTGGCCATCTGCCTTAGTTACTTTTCTCTTGTTGCTGAGACAAAATACCCAAAGCCCCCAAATTAAAGAAGAAAAGGTTTGTTTAGCTCCCAGTTTGTGGAGGTTTCAGTCTATAATCAGCTGGCTCCACAGCAGGGTGGCAAGGCACAAGGGCAACTGTTTAAGGTGGCAAAAGATAGCAAAACAGCAAGAGCAAAAGGGGGGAGCAAGCCTCTTTTCCCCTCCTTATATTGTATGCCAGCTGTCCGCCCATGCCACACCATCTCGTGTCCTCCTCTTGCACAGACTCAGGATGAATACAAAGTAAAGACCCTGGCTCCCCGCTGAGCTGCATAGTTAACCGTCTAAACCGCTCAAGTTGACACAAGGCATCAACGATGGCACCATCTTACCTTCAAAGTGGAAAGACTCTTGCCCACCGCAGAAGCCGTACTTCCCCAGCTCCATTGCCAACCACTCCCCTTGGAGCCCCAGAGACAACCCCAACTCTTCCATATCCCTCTGATGAACCCGTTGCTCTCCTCTCTCAAGAGTTCTCTTCCTCCCAATAGAGACTCCCGTGACAGGTACCTTTTCACCAATGAAGAAGCAATTGAGTTTAAGGGAAGCAGAATTCCTTGAGATCACCAGCTAGTAGGGTCAATGGGAGGACTAGTTCTGTTTGACTTGACATTAACCTTTCAGTAACTATTTATAGTCAGTACCTATAATAATTAGCAACATTAACAAATATGATAATTGTGCAATAAAATATTAACAACTGTTGAAAATCTTTCAGCATGGCTTGTCTGCCATGTATGAGATACAAAACAGGCTTATTTACTCTGGGAAATAAGGAGAGATAATTGTTAAAAATGTTTACCCGAACATTTTTTTTGAACTTGGTGTTTATGATTCTCTTCTCAGCCTAGTACTAAAATTAAAACCTAAAACTTTAAGTCTTGCTCTCCTAAAAAATGATTGAAAACAAAACTCATTTTCAAATGTTTTCATCTATGGATGCTCGTTTTGAAGGACTGGTATGTATGTCTGAAGATTAAACGGTGTCTCCCTCTGTGTGTGTGTGTGTGTGTGTGTGTGTGTGTGTGTGTGTGTGTATCTCAGCAGACTTAAAAATACTTCTATTTAGGTGCACTGAGTAGTATATGGAAAGAAAGGTAGAAGAGAATTGGAAAAGGGCCATAAAGAGACAATAAGCAGACCTGGTTTAATAACATCTGTAATGTACAGTCTGGCACAAGAGATATGGAACAAACAGTTGCCATCTACTAATACATGCTTCTCAGCAATGCCAGTGTGATTTTCAGCACATTTAAGTTTGTTGGTAAATGCTAAATTTGTGCTATAAGCCCTGTTTTCATTTCCCAAGGGGTATCCACATGCTAAGTGTTTAAAAATGATAACTATTACTGCTGTTAACTTAATTTCTACAAATCCTGAATTGTTCTCCAGAAGAGCAAGCTATGTACAAATATGAAGGCAGTGTGTGTTTATCTAATACGATATAAAGAAGTGCTATAAATGCTGATGTTTTGTATTCTCTTATATGCTTGTACTTTGATATTAAAGGGAGAATAAATCTTTCCTAAATAACTTTATATTACAAAGAAAAAAATTAAGAGTTGTGATGACTTGAGTTAATCTGAATTTGGAAATGGAGGGCTGTTTTTATAACCTCTAAGTTATGAAGAGCAAATATCGTTTACATGTGCAAACCAGATCATAGGAACCAGGATTTTATAAAGTTTAGTTTGTGTAATTACAACTTATATGAGATGGAGATCTCAGCCAGCGTGAGACACACAATGAAAAAAAAAGAGATGGAAAACAGAGCCTATGAGGTCATGGCTAATTTCAAGGTACAGTCATTTGTCCTAATTAATAATGGAGTAGATTTTTCCTCATTAATAGCACAGAGTATTTGTGTATTCAAAACATGATTACATTAGTTATTGTCTGGTTATTGTCACAGATGTGCTCAGAATTGTGGAATCTCAAAATAAGAAAGAAGGTTAAAGGCTATCTGGAGCCCCAAAATATGTCAGCCAAGCTGTCACCAGCTGAGACTTAACACCTTCCAGAGATGAAAAACCCACGGCCTGTCCAGGCAGCCTATATCATCTTTAAACTTCTTAAAGTAAAAGAAAGCATTTCTTGCCTGTGGAAAATACTGACTTCATGCTTATGAGATGTCCACCTCTAACCTAAGGGTTAGACTCCTTGAAGTTTAATAAAAAGCTAATAATTTATAGCTAGCAAGTAAAATCCACAAACTTGAAAGCAGAGGAGCCCCAAGTCCCATACTAATAAAGTCAAGAGTATAGACAAAGCCCAGAGACTGAATATAGCAAGCTCTGAAAGGCAACCCTATGCTGAGACAAAAAGCATCCTCACAAATGTGAGACCAAAGCAAACTGCAAAAGAAAAGGAACATCAAAGAAGCAGATCTTTGGCAGATCCACATGATAAGCAGAAGGAAAGGAAACTAGCCAAAAAACTCATGTAAACATGGGGGAAGATATTAGCCTTACTAAGGCCAAAATCCAAATAGGTGAGCCAAAAGCAAAAAGGTAAGGAATGCTAACAGGGCCTGATCAAAACAGAGGAAAGCAGGAACGTGCTTCGTAGTGATTCGTGCTCTTGTCTTTACTATACACAAAGGCAAAATGAGAAACCTTCCCTATCTTCGGAACTGACTGCCTGCTCATCTCATCTGGATAACTGTCCCCCTTTCTCTGCTATTTTACTTTGCTACAGTAGAACTGAAGCGTCATGAAGGGTTACAACTAGGACAGGTTTGAAACACCCGCTCCCTATGGCATGGATGGAAAATATGCATGTTGAGTTTCATCAAAGTGCTACAGGTCCTTCCAAGGAGACAGCAGCAAGACTAACTCTCCCAGCTCAGACTCCAGCTGTTCAAAACAGGGGTTCATGTTTTCTAAATTATATCACTAGATAAGACCTCTCACTCAAATTTAATCACAAAGAAATATCACAAAGAAAGCCTCTTCATTTTTTGACTGTCATTTTTTTTATTTTTAAATATGGTGCCTCTCACTATACCATTAAGACAATAAATGATGATACTTGACTGACTTGCTAAAGAACAGAAGCTGTTACATCTCTTAGCAACATGGCCCGACAGCTTACTGTTAGCTGGCAGTATAACAGAGCTGACGGCATAATAGTGTTTTAGTAAGTAGCATTTTTATTATGGACAGGTCACATACTATTTGTCTCATCTCAGGCTCATTTTAGAGGTTTGTAAAATATATGTATTATTTGACAGGGCTGGCTTTTGAATTTTTTAAAAAGTGCTATTTTTATATTTGGTTCCAGGGCATTCTTGGCTCCGGTTTTGCATTAAAAGTACAAGAACAACACCGTCAAAAACACTTCGAAAAGAGAAGAAACCCAGCTGCCAACCTCATCCAGGTAACTGTCAGGGCAGTAGGTAGATGGCAACGTCTGTCTCCGTGTGTGCTTGTTCAGTTGCTTTCGAATACGTGCAAAGCAACTAAAGCAACTTCATTGCTTTTCTGCAAATGAAGTCAGAACTGTATAGTTTTGGGTCTGGGAAGGTATTCCCCTTTTGCCAAACAGAAACATACACTTTTTCACCAAAAGTTCCATGCATTGTTCAAACAATTAATCACACAGCAAGGATGTGTGCAGGTTAGCAGTTGTGCTGTTCTGGGAATGACTAGTACGTCTTAAGAATTACAAGGTGGAACATAATTGATCACTAAGTGATAGAGCAAGACATGGCAGTGTTCCCTGCATTACAATTATTTTCTACGGTCAGTGTGTACCACTGTTCTGAAAAATAATCTGCCTGTTTAGAATATCAAGGTTTAGCACTCATGGAATAGCTTTCAATTCTATGTAAGGAAGTAACTTGAAATAGTATCTTAGTTTAAGAGTGGGTGGGGCTGGGGATATAGCTCAGCTGCACAGCTTGCTTGCTTGGCAAGCATGAGGTTGTGAGTTCGATTTCCAGTACCAAAAAAAAGCAAAAACAAAAACAAAGACAAGAGTGGGCAGTATTATGGAAGACACCAGTGTTTGAAAACATGAAACAATAAGCATGTTATTTGAAGACAAACATGATTTAGCATTTTGTTTCCTGAACTCAGAATTTGCTTTAGCTCCAAAAGAAATGCTTCTCCTTTTGTTATCCTTATCTTTTGGGAGTAAAACCAGGTAAAGGATCAGCAATTACATTATTTTCTAGACCCGTAATATTGAATTAGCATTCAATTATGGGCAAGATGATTCTATAGTTCAATTTTTCTCCTCCTGCCAGACAGGTGAAGCTCCAGAACTTCTCAACTGGAGCTGTTTGGGATAGCAAACCAAGATCCTAAGAGATTCGTCTTCATGTTGGTGTAACAAGCGTGCTGCTCTAATTCAGATCGCAGGTTTGAGTGGCTGAGTTAATAGAACATAATCTCTGGTGAACCTTATCAGCCTTTATCTGTAGCTCTGGGGATGCAGCCCCTCCAAAAGGAATGAAGCTAGGGGAGAGACCAAGAAATAAAGCTCCAACACATCATGAAGACCTATTTGTCGCTAAGGATTCAACTGGGACATTAATTTTCTAATCAAGTCATTCTGCAACTAGGTATTGATATGAAAGTGGACCAGTAGGTATGACTTCTAATACAAATAACTGAGTCTCTATTTTTAAAATTTCCCAGTTTTAAAACAGAAAGTCAACTTCATTTTCTTAAAGGAAAGGATCCCTAAGTAGTAAGAATTTAGACTCCAAACGATAGTGTCCAGAATGAAAAAAAAGTGTTATGCACTTTAGGATACGCACACAACACCCAGAGGTCCAGAGCCCTTCATCCTTTAGTATTTTTATTTGGTGGTTCATGCTTCCATACATGTAACAAATTTTGCTCATTATTATTTTTATTCTCAATTTCCCTTCACTCTAGATCAGTACTTTCCAACCTGTGAGAATCAAAGATATCTTGATAGGCTCCTTGTTTCTTCCGGAAACCAAGGCCTGTCTGCGTATGAAACCAATAACACATCTTACCGACATGTAACCTCTAGAGCATCAGCAGCTGTGTTAGAGAGGGAGCCCTTGGAGAAGTGTCTGATGCGTATACCAGTTGTGATGCTACACAGCTGTGATGACCCATATGATAATCATTACTTACATGCAGCTAGTTAAATGTAAATTAATTAAAATCTAAAACTTATGGCACAAGACACTTAGAAATGTTCACTGGTTATTACTGACTTTCGGCTACCACATTGCACAAGCCCAATACAGACAAAGAAAAAAGAAATTTTTTCATCTATTTGTCATTATCAACTACTAAATTATGCAGAAGCAATTTCCAGTAGAACTTCAAAATAAATTGCTATTTCTGCATTAAATCATCGGAGCAGAGGCATTTTGATGTACACAACCAAAATAAGGCAAGGCTACCTCACAAGTAACCCATAAAAGAAGCGGCTGATTGAACTCTTTTGCCTGGAGACTTGAAATTTCATTTTTTGGAACTTGATTATGTAATATATGTTAGGATCAGCAATTGAACTTGTAAAAAATGTAGGCAACAATAAACCCAAATTGTGAATTTTTCTTTTACTTTTTTTTTTTTTTTTTTTTTTTTTTGTCTTTGTGAGACAAGTTCTCACTATGCAGTTCAGGCTGGTCTTGAACTTACTTTGTAACCCTGGTCTCGAACTTGCAATGATCCTCCTACCTCAGCCTCCCAACTGCTGTGATTACAGGCGTGCACCACCATGCCTGGCTTCTTTTACTTAAAAGTCCAAATTTTAGGTTGTTTGTAGCAGAAAAGGATGCAAAATATAAGGACTGATACAGTCAAGAATGCTTTAAAATCTGATCATAGTTTCATGAGTCAAAATAGAATTTACTAATTTAAAAAGCAACTACTTCCTCATTCAATGTCATCAATTTATTATGCATAAGAACAATAATGTAACAATTATTTAGCTCATCACTTATCCTCAACACAATCTTTGGGCAAGATTCAGGGCTTTGGGCCTTGATTATAGATTGTAGAAATTTATTTTTAAGGATGCATTGTATTGAAAACTCAGGTCTCATATGCTGACACATTCATTTTCTTACCCAATAAACTTGATTTGCTTTGCTGAGCATAAAAGGCATCAAGAGCAAAAGTGACCTTATTTGTCTTAAGCCAAAGCCGCTGCCTTCTTACAAGGGCAAATTGCTTTATTCTTTGGTTGATGAGAGAATTAAATTAAGTAGCACATCGGGGTTTTGGTGAAAAGTTTAAAACCCTGGTAGTTTGCAGCACATTTATTTTTATCAATATCTTTGAATGATTGATTGAAATTTACTTTTTGTTTCAAGTGGAGCAGTCTGAGAAAAGGAATCAGCTTTCAGTCACATTTGGAAGACCTGGGGCTGGGGATTTAGCTCAGTGGCAAAGCGCCTGCCTGGCAAGCGCAAGGTCGTGAGTTCGGTTCCCGGTACCGGAGAAAAACCAAAAAAAAGAAAAAAAACGCATTTGGAAAACCTACTTGAATGTCACAACTTTTATTACTAACGCCTGAGACTCATGAAGTGCTTTGCAGTCTGCAGAGGGCTTGCAGTGCACTATGTCACTTCATCCTCAAGACAAGCCTAGGTGGAGGTGGGACCAAAATCCCTGCTGTTTGATCCAAATCAGTTACTCCTTTCACAAACAGAATTGCATCTGCTACATGCACTATGGAACCTGGGGATTAAAGATCCTTCAGGAGCTCCATGTCACAGCACGACTCGTGGAGAGGCTAGACCAACTCAGGGCAGATCCAAGGCACTTTCCTAGAAGCAGAAATGGGGAATTGGGTAAGCGTTTGAACAATCAAGACTGACAAGGGGCTGGGGATTTAGCTCAGCGACAAAGCGTCTGCCTGGCAAGCGCAAGGTCGTGAGTTCGGTTCCCGGTACCGGAGAAAAACAAAACAAAAAAAAAAAAAGAAGACTGACAGATAGTGTTAATTTCCTTCAGAGAAAAGATTATATGTTTCCTTGAGGAAGTTACCTAACCCAGAAGAAAACTATACATTGAAACGTTGGCTTTTTCTTAGCCTTCTTCTACCTGTTACCCTAAAGAGATGCTACCGGTCCATACTCTCAGGTTACTTATACTGGGATGATACATCTTTCTCAGTGTTTGAATCATAAATAAGAACAGAAAAAAAAAAAAACTGATGTAAAAAACATGATGGCAGAAAAAAGGGAAGATACAGTTGTGAAAATCTCCCAGAGAGCAAAATAAGACAAGAGATGAAAAATAAGACCTAAAAGAAGAGTAAAGGACATTTCTAAGAGTGCCAAGATCCAACTAACAGAGGTACCTTAGACTATGGGGATACTAAAGGGAGGACTTCACCAGAGAATTACATTATGTTCCTCTGGAACTGGAGGGCAGGACTGGTTACAGTAAATAAAAACACCCACCAAATGCCCGGCACTGTAAACCAACAATTTCATTCCAGGATTATCATAATGAGATATCAGGACATCTGCAAAGACAGATCCTAAGCCCTGTCTGGGTGCACATAGCCAAAGGATCAAGAATCAGGATAACATTGGACGTCTCATTCATAACTCTAGTGTTAGAAGACAGTGAAGCAATGCATTCAAAATCATGGCAGAAAATTACTTCCAACCTAGAATTCTGAATGTAGCCAAACCATTTATGCAGGGTAAGAGTAACACAAAGACGTACCCATGGACAATCTCAAAACATTGGTATTTGCCCTGACTCCAGAAAACTATGTCAGCAGGATTGCTCTTCCAAAACAAGGAGATAAACCAAGACAGTAAGAGGCATGACATTCAGGAAATGAGAATTCCCACTCAGGAATGGGTAAAGGGTACCCCAGGATGAAAAGGTGGGGAAGTCCCAGGATCACAGGCACAGCAGGTTGAACGCTGATGGAGGAAAAGACTGTGAGCACCAGGAAAACCATCCTCCAGAGTACAAGAAAGTGAAACTGAAAGGTTTCATGATACATTGACAAGAGGCATTTTAGAGACCCAGAAAGGCGATCATGAATGTGTTCATCATAGCTACATGAAGGCAAACCAAGAAATTAAAACAAGGCAATAATAACTCCAGGAAAAACAAAAATATTATACAAGAAAGAGAGTAGTCATGACAAATTATAAGACTACACTGGGAACAATAGCTACATGTTCATAGTAATGCAAACACCAACTAAAATCGTGATGTAAAAATACTGGAAGTACGAGATGAGATGACAGGGGCATTAAGTAGGCCACACTATTTTGTTTCATGGTTAGAAGTTAATGGGTAATGCCTGAAATTGAAAAATCAAGAAATACAATTATGAGCATAATCCTTAAAAATAAGGATTCTGAACAGAAACGACAACTCCAAGAATGAACTGGTTGCCACTGAAAAACAGAA